TCTTTTAATTAACTTATTCTTCTATGGGTCAAAAAAAAAAAAAAAGGCGAGGGACTTACAGGAGAGGAATTCAGGCAGAGGGCATGACCTTGGCAAAGGCCCTGGGGTTGGACCAGACCTGGTCAGTTGGAGGGACAGTGAAGGGGCGAGGGAGGGGAGCAGGGAGGAGAGGAGGGCAGGGAGGGGACTGGGTCTCAGGCTTTGGCCCACAGGAGGTGGGAGCTCTGGGAGGCTGTGGGCAGAGGAGGGACGGGCCTGGTGCTGATGGCTCTGGCTGCCTTCGCGGTATTTTCCCAGCTTCTCCCCCCTGCTGGGCTGTGGCCTCCCTGTGGGGTGTGGAGGGACGCACACATCCCAGCTCTCCCCACCTCTCTTGGGGACACTTTGTCTGGGAGGAGAGAGGTTGGGGACAGCCCCTTCTGTTCCCTGACTATTTGGTCAACAGTGCCGGCTCCAAGGAGATGGCCCCGGGGTCACCAGACCCCGAGGGAGGACCCTCCCTCCTCCTGGCTCCTTGCTCAAACCCACAGCCCCCTCAGCCTCTCCCAATGTTTCTGGCTGCCCGGCCTGCCTGGGTTAAGTATTGCCCTCTCAAAGGCAGCTCACTGGAATGGGCAGCTGTCCTCACTTTAGTATGAATTGTTGTTTCTGTATTTTGTTTTTAGCAGCGCAGGGAGCAGGGGCAGGATGGGAAAGAAGTAGAGGGTGCAGGGGCAGCCCCTCCTCCTCCCACCTCCTCAGACCTGCCTGATTCTGTCTTCCTCAAGGGACCCACCCATCACAGGGACTTGACACACGGGCTCTGCCAAAACCCAACACCAAATTCACTGCCAACAAAGTCTATTCTGACTCACAGCGACCCTACAGGACAGACTAGAACTGCCCCTGTGGGTTTCCAGGACGGTGACTCTTTCCGGGAGTAGAAAGCCTCATCTTTCTCCAAAGAGCGGCTGGTGGTTTCAAACCTCTAACCTTGCAGTTAGCAGCCCAATGTGTGACCACTAGGCCACCAGGGCTGCATACACAAGCCAGGGGTCTAGACTTCAGGCCCTGGCATTTTCAGCGATATTGGGCACAGTGCTGACTCCAAGCTGCCTCTTGTAGGAAGCCTCCCAGGCTTGGCCCTAGCCCACCAAGCCCTGATTTATCTTGCACCCAGCTCTGCGGTGGCCCTGGGGGTCTGTATTTCACTCCTTTCCCAAGGGGGGGGGGACCCCTCCTGGATTGGGATGTACTGCCCCCCTGCTCAGGACAGCCCCCCTCTCCTCTCAGTAACCCTGCTTCTGCCTGGACAAGGCTGGAGCACCTGCTGGGGAGGACCACTGAGGAAACAGGTCACAAGCTGATCCCATTCCATACCAACAACACAGGCTGACCCGTTCCATACCAGGCACAGCACATGTGTGGGCCGGCATGTGCTGTGCCTGGTCTAGGCATGAGGGACTCGACCCGGAAGAAAACAGATGTGGAGGAGGACAGGGAGGGAGCCCTAGCACCTGACACCTGGAGGGGAGGGTGTTCCAAGCAGCCTGTGCAAAGGTCCTGGGGTAGGACCAAGGAGGAGACCCGTGTGGCCGGAGCAGGGATCGAGGGGAGAATTGGGGTTTCGACGGAGACAGCAGGGCCTGGTGGATCATGGGAGAGAGTCTGGCACGGCAATGGGAACTGGCCCAGGCGTCCCGGCTGATTTCAACAGCACCCATTGCTTGGATGGGCCCCAACGGTGACGCCTCGGGGCAGGGGAGGGGGCAGCCCAGCAGGCTTTGAGTCACTTTGGCTGGTGGCGGGGGCAGGGCGGCTCAGGGCTGAGAGCAGGGGAAAGGTGCTGGTCTCGGGCCGGATGGGCGGGCACACACGTGACAGCCCAGCACCCCCCCCCCCCACTCCCACCCGCTGGCCGTTTGCCTGGGCCGCAGGCTGGCCAGCACCCGCCCCAGACCCTATAAGGCCTGAGAAACTAGAGCCGAGGAGGCAGCTGCCAGCAGGGACATCAGCTCAGAGGGACGGACCCTCCCGCAGCCCAGGTGAGCAGAGCCATGGCCCAGCCGGGTGGGTCGTAGGGGACTTCTAGGTCACACAGGGGGTATGGTGGGGAGCTTGGAAGCCCCCTGTTCACATATCTTCTCTGCCCTCCCTTCCAGTGCCTTCTTGTACCAACATGTCTGCTCAAGATAGAGGGGGCCGGGATGGCCAGAAAGCCAAGGGCAAGGTAAAGAACAGGAGCACCCTGGTTCATCCCCCGTGCCGAGAGGTGCCCCCAAAATCCTGGGGGAGGGGGTGCTCCTCTCAGCCGCACCACACTGGGGCTGGTAGGGCCTCACACAGCCTCCCCTCCTCCCCTCGGCCCCTCGCTGGACCTCAGTGCCCCGTCTGTGAAGTGGGGCCGTGGAAGGCCCAAGGCCGGTCCAGCTCCTCCTCTGCCCACCCATCACGCCGATGATGAAGCATCAGGGGCCAGGGCTGGGATTCAAACCCAGGCCTGTCTGACTTGGGTTCCAACACCCCATCCTCATCCCTGCTGCTTCTTGGTTGTGCTCAGGATGACCCCCTCCTCACTGACACCCCACCCCCTGCCCTGTAGACCCTGAGTAGCTTCCTGGGGTCTCTGCCCGGCTTCAGCTCTGCCCGGAATCTGCTGACCCATGGCTCGACCAGGGAGGCCCAGCCGGCTGCCGACCCAGCAGGTGTCCCTGCCCCTGAGGCTGCCCAGCCCCAGGCTCAGGGTGAGTGGACAGCCCTGGGCCAGGGGTGTCTGGGGGTGGGCCCCAGGAGAAGGAAATCTGCCCCCCCCATGGAGGCCAGTACAGGGCTAGAAGGGTCATTTGGGGAGCATTTCCCAGTAGAGACAGCCTGGCTGGCCCCATCACTGAGCACCAAGAGGGGAAATTAAGGCATAAGAGTGGGGACAGGTTTCCCAAGGTGGTTTGGCCAGCAGGTGGTAGAGGGGAGGTCTGCACCTAGCTTGGTAACCGCCCCCACCCCCCACCCCCCGACATCCTCACCTGCCTACTTACAGGGTACACCATATGCAGGACATGTTCAAATTCATCAAGGACTGATCCCCCATCCCCAAAGGGGACCAACAACTCCCCTGGGGTCACAGTGGAAGGACATGGTGGGGTAGCATGCCCCTTCCCTGAACTACTCAGCCCTCCCTCCCTCTGTCTGGAGCTCTCTGTGGCCTCCCTGTGCCCTAAGCACCTGCCAGGTCAGGGTGCTTCGGAGCTCAGCCTCTGGGGTTCTTCTAGGAGGTGCCCCGATCTTCCACAGCCTGGACTGCGTAGTCTGGGCCCAGCGCCCCGGACAGTTGGCTCTCACTCTACATACCTCCATGGACAGGCAGCTGGCAGCTGAGTGGGGGCAGGGCGGGGGCAGCCCCCATGAACGGTGTGGCCTGGGATCTCAGGAGTGGGGATGGCCTGGGGCAGAAACCAGCTCCTCTCCCTGTAGCTGCCCCTGGGACCCAGACCCAGACACCAAGGGGGGCAGTAGGGTCAGCAGGAAGGAGGGCTGCCCAACAGAGAAAGCCCCTGGAGCCTCCGCCCCAGAGCATCCAGGCGGCAGGGGTTGGGAGCTCCCTGCCCCCTCCCCCCAACCACTCACCCCGCCAATGGGCCGCTGGCAGGAGTGCCAGGTTTTGCTGTCCCTGGCAGGGGGACTGGACATTCCTAACCTTTTGGGCTGTGCCCATTGCTTGCGCAACCAGCCCAGGGCCTCGATGCCAATGCCACCCCTCACCCTTGATTCCTTCCCCGTCTGCAGTGGCTGCCAACCAGGAGCAGATGGCTGAGGGGACCCAGTCTTCAGAGAAGGTGAGAGGGTCCCCTGAGGGCCTCCAATCCCCCTCCTCACACTCCGCCCCCCAAGAGAGGAGCCCCGGGGGCGGGGTGGGTGGGTGTCTGGTCCAGTCCCAAGAAAGAAAACAAACAACCCTGGAGTCCCAAGGGGACCCTGGCCCCCGCCAGAAGCCTCTGTTTCCACATCTGTGAAATGGGTGCAGCAGTCTTAGGCAGCTCCACCCTGAGGCTCCCAAAGGGTCACACAGACAGGGTCCCCAAGGCTGCCATGAAGTCAGTGGTGCCCGGACCAGCACTGTCCCCAGGACCAGATGTGGACCAAACCAAATACCAACCTCACAGCGGCCCTGGAGAATAGAGCAGAATTTCCCCACCCTGTGAGTTTCTGAGACTGCAGCTCTTCACGGAGTAGAAAGCGTGTCTTTCTCCCAGGGAGCAGCGGGGGGTTTGAACTGCTAGGGTTTGCGGTGAGCAGCCCCACGCGCGACCACACGCCCCCAGAGCCCCTCCGTTGTGGACCAGAACATCGGGGCGCAGCAGGTTTCCAGAGTGGATTGCCAGGCCTTTCTTCCGAGTGCCGGGCTGAAAGTTCAGCAGGAACCTCTTAGCAACCTGCCAGTGTCTGAGGACAGACAGAAGGCGGTGGCTGTGGCTGAGGCTGGGGGAGGGGTGTGAAGCCGGGTCACCGATATGGGAGGAAGGGCTCTCTCTCTGAGTCACTGCCTCCAGACCCCCGAGACCGCTGTCAAGTCCACCCTGACGCGTGGTGACCGTGTAGGACTGAGTGAGCCACCCAGAGGGTGCCCCGATTCTGACTCAGAGTGACCTGAGGTGCAGCAGAGGGAAACACCACCCGGCCCGGCACCACCCTCACAATGGTTCTTGTGGCTGAACCCACGGTCGTCGCCACGGTGTTCACCTATCTTGTCCCGAGCCTTCCTCCCCTTGGCTGCGCCTCTGCTCAGACCGAGCAGGATGTCTTTCTCCAGGGGCTGGTCTCTCCTGACAACGTGTCCCAAATCCGTGAGACAGAGCCTCGCCATCCTGGTCTCTAAGGGGTGCTCTTCCCAGACAGGTCTGGCCATTCTCGCAGTCTGTGGGAGCGGCACAGGGCCACCTGAACTGTACCTAAGGCATGTGGGGCAGAGCTTGTGAGTTTAATGGCTAATTTTCCAGCCCCTGCCCTTGCAGGAAAGATGCCATCCAAGCTCAGGCCCCAGCAGAAGCACCGAGAGGTCGAGAGGTCCACCCTTGCCCAAGGTCACTCAGCAAGAAGATGGTAGCTCAGGGTTTGAGCCTGAAGCTCAGACACAATCTCTTGCCCTTGGTCCTGGGTGAGTGGGGACAGCCGGGGTTGTCCCCTCAGCCCAGGCACAGGGAGAGTCAGAGCTGTCCCCTCTCCCAGCTAAGCTGAGGGGCGGATGGATGACAGCAGCAGGAACTGGCAGGGCAGCAGAGCCCACACCAGTGGGACTGATCTTCCTTGGAGCCATCCTCCCTCTGGAGTCCTCCATGGCTCCCCTGTGCCCTCAGCTCCTGCCAGGTCAGAGGGTCTCAGAGGCCCCAGAGCCCTGGGCTCCAATTCTGCAGGTGCTCCTGGCACCATTCAGAGCCCCCACTCCCTTCCCCACCCCCTTTTCCTGGAGGACTGACCTTTACCAGGCAGCTCCTATGGACTGTCCAACCCCGGGGCTCATAAGAAGGGGCCCAGGTGGTGCAGTGGGTTAAGCAGCGGGCTGTGAATCCGAAGGTCAGTGGTTCAAGCCTCCTAGGCGTTCCGTGGGAGGAAGATGAGGCTGTCTGTTTCTGTGATGGTGCACACCGCCTTGGAGGGCAGCTGCTCGGGGTCAGGGTCGATGGAGGGCAATGGGGGAGGGGGCTTTGTAGACCCTGGATGTTCCAGGCAGCTACCACTGTCTTCAGTTTCTCCAGAAAGCAGGCTCAGGGAAGGGGAGTTGTTACCTCCCCACCGCCGCTCTCCAAGGTCATGGCAGCTGGTGAAGGGGAAGAGGTGGGATTTGAGAACGTGTGTCTCTCCAGCCCCTGAGCCCCAGGGATCACATGCAGCTGGAGGGAGGATCCCTTCAGGGCCTCTCAGCCTGGCACTACGGGTATGTGGAGCTAGATCCTTCTTTGGGGCTGAGGGTGCCCTGCACACAGGACAGAGCTGGGCAGCATCCCTCATCCACAGTCAACACCCCCCTCCATGACCCGCACAGCCAGAAATCGCCAAGAGGGAGGCAGGCTCTTACCATCGAGAATAAGATGCTCGCTCGTTGGGCGGAGCCCGTGAGTTGGCTTTGTGTCTAGGGACTCCATGTAGGACCGAGAGAAATGTGGCCTGGTCCTGTACCGATGGGCACGCTGTCACGGCCACTGGGGGGTAGGGGGGTGTCACCCTCGGCTGCCAAAATGTGTTGCTCCTTGACTGCCATCCCAGAGAGCTGTCGTCGGCAGGGAAGCATCGATCTTATCCCGGTCACCTCCCGTGAGTGGCTCCAATTTAACGGGGAAACAACCCAGCATCATCAAATCAATCCTGACTCGTGGGACCCCACAGGACAGACTAGAACTGCCCCCTTGGGGGCTTCCCGAGGCTCCCTGTCGGACAGGGCAGAACTGCCTCTGCGGGTTTCTGAGACTCTTGTGAGTTTCTCTGAGGAGTTGAAAGCTCGTCTTTCTCCCGCAGAGCGGCTGGTGGCATCGAACCTCTGACCTTGTGGTTTGCCGCCTGTGTAACCACTATGCCCTCAGGGCTCCCTCAATGCAGGTGTCTGGATGTCCCCATGATTGCTGGGAGGAAGGCGCAGGCCGGGGCGGTGTTTCCCTCTGCCGTGCGTGAGCAGGGCCGCTGTGGTCAGGGCTGACCCGAAAGCACCCAAACACGCCACCACCAGTTGAGTTCAGGAGGGACAGCCAGCCTGACTCGAGTTTAGACATGTGCTTGTGACTAGAAAAAAGGCAAAAGGAACCGTTTAGATCAACGGTCACCAAGCATTTATGTGTGGCTGGGCCCGAGCCCTTGGTTAAGGGCCAGAGAGAGTCGCTAAAGGGCTGCAGACTGTACCGTAGTGGCTCAGGGCCAGACTTCTTGCCTACCTTGCAGGAGACCTGGGGTCCACTCCCCGCTCAGGCACAGCCACCTGCCAGCCATCTGTGTGTCCACAGCTAGGAAGACCAGTTTCAGCAGAACGTCCAGGTTCCGGGGCCCTAACGGCCATCACGGCCCACAGCGTGGGGAACCCCTTAGGCACGGGGTGGGGTTTCCTCCTGACACAGGTGCACTAGGGAGAAAGGTCTTGCAACTGGGAAACCAGTCACGGAGAGGTATGTCTGACACCGGGGGTCATAGGAAGGGGCAGTGGGTTAAGCAGCGGGCTGCGAACCCAAAGGTCAGTGGTTCAAACCTCCTAGGCACTCCTTGGGAGGAAGATGAGGCTGTGTGTTTCTGTGATGGTGCACACCGCCTTGCAATCCCCAGAGGATGGAGGGCAGACGCTCAGAGTCAGGGTCGATGGAGGACAATGGAGGAGGGAGCTGCCTATTTCTGGCAGCTAGCTAGAACCTGGTGGATTTAACTTGCTCAGTGACTAACTTCAGTCCTGGTTCCCTGCTTGGTCTGCAGTGGAACACCCAGCTGCCCTGCGGTCTCCCATAAAGAGGAAACCCTCTGGGTCCCCTGTTCCGTTAGGGTTCCTTCGACTCGGAATGCACTCCTTGGCAGGGAGGTTGTTTTTCAAATTGTTTTGTTCGTTTTTTTGAATGAAGGTAGGAGGTTCCAATTCTCCCAGAAGACCAGTCTGACGCACCACGTACCGGTGTGCAAATGTTCGCTGAGCCAGGGTGGCGCGTGGGCTGCTGGCAACTCTGCTTTAAGACTTGACAGTCTGTCTGTCCTTCTCTGTCAGCGGCGTTTGGGGCTAGGCTGCTTCTTCACTTAACCTAAAACGCTGGTGGGTCGGGCCCGCCCCGAGGCACTGCGGAAGAAAGGGCTGGCAGCCGCGTCCTTAAAGACCAAACCAAACACCAACCCGAACTCAGGGCTCTCAAGGTGGCTCTGACTTGGACCTTGAGTTTCTGAGACTGGAATTTTTACGGGAGGAGACAACCTCGTCTTTCTCCCCTGGAGCGGCTGGTGGTTTTGAACCGCTGACCTTGCAGTTAGCAGCCCAGTGTGTAGCGGCACCTAAAAGAGCAGTGCTCAGGAAACCCTCTGAGGTGCAGTTCTGTCGCAGGATGGGGGGGCCGTGCACTGGAATCGACACCCCCTGCCCCGACTTTGGCTTTTATATCTCAACTGGGGCAGTTAGGGGAGTTCTATATCTCAACTGGGGCAGTTAGGGGAGTTTCCATTTGTCAACAACAGCTGTTAGGGGACCTGAGGGGAGTTAGGGGGAGTCAGTAGGGTGACGTGAGGCCAAGCTCATGAAGAAGAAGTCCTGGAGCCCAGTTTGGTAAAAAGAGGGGCCCTGTAGGGGTGGGGCCTGGGGCAGAAGTAGGGTCATGGAGTGAGAGGAAGGGAGGGAGGGGATGGCCCCCCAACTCCTCTTATGATCAATGTCCTTCCTCACCTGTCCTCTCAGATGACCAAGACCAAGGACACCTTCTCCTCGGGAGTGGCCAGTGTGGTCCAAGGGAGCCTAGGCCTGGGCCAGTCGGTTCTCTCTGGCACCAAGGACGCCGTGTCCAGTGGGGTAACCGGGGCAACAAATGTGGCCAAGGGGGTCGCCCAGGAGGGGCTGAACACAACCAAGAATGTCCTCACGGGCACGAAGGACACTGTGGCCACTGGGCTGACTGGGGCTGTGAACGTGGCCAAGGGGACTGTGCAGAGTGGCCTGGACACTACCAAGAATGTCCTCACGGGCACCAAGGATACTGTGGCCACTGGACTGACTGGGGCTGTGAACGTGGCCAAGGGGACTGTGCAGAGTGGCCTGGACACTACCAAGAATGTCCTCACAGGCACCAAGGACACAGTGACCACCGGACTGACCGGGGCTGTGAACGTAGCCAAGGGAACCATGCAGACAGGCCTAGACACCAGCAAGGCTGTGCTGACCGGCACCAAAGACACTGTGTGCACTGGGCTGACCGGGGCAGCAAATGTGGCCAAGGGGGTCGCCCAGGGGGGTTTGGACACCACCAAGAATGTCCTCACGGGCACCAAGGACACAGTGACCACTGGACTGACCGGGGCCATGAACGTGGCCAAGGGGGCTGTGCAGACCGGTCTAGACACCAGCAAGACTGTGCTGACTGGCACCAAAGACAC